CCAGATCCCTCTATCATGCCCAATTAACCCATATATTACAATCTTAGTGAAATAATAGTTTTGGGTCAGTTCGTAAAAATTACGGACCTGATCTTGGTTCACTCGATTTTTTTTTCAAATTTGGTCCATAAAACAACCACTTTCATAAAAACCATATGGTAAACCTATAATAATGCGTTCAAACTACAAAATTATTGGGTAAAAAACAACAAAATCTATAACAAAAGTGTTTATGTTCAAACTACAAAATCATCTACAATCTTTAAACAAGAACAATTTATGTTCATACGGGGGAAAGAAAAACTTATTTCACGAGCCATTGCAAAAAATATGGAGTTACGGACGTGAAAGATCGCCTTGCGAAGAGAATCATGTGCGTTTTTTTTTTGCAGAGAGCTTTCTTAGGATGCAAATTTTGGTCCCCACTTGGTAGCAAAAATACACACACGTAAATGTGGCACATTAATAATGCAAGTATACACCAAATATTGAGCTCGTTTTCAAGTAATAAAGTGGTAAAAATACTGATATCATATCCACATGAATCGAACTTCAAAGTTTGAGTACTAAGTCGAAAATACACCAATTTCAATTAGAGAAGAATATAACATATTTGAACGAGTTTGATAGTTTTTACAACAAAATAAAAACAAGAAACTAAAAATGGTCATGTGTGTAAATTTTCCTTAAGAAATATGTAGTAACAAAAAGGTCAAATACTTTATATTGAAGCAACTTGCAGGCAAGCCCCTAGGTCAACACAAAGGAGAGACTAGCACCCTCCCTTTAGCCTTACCGAGGAACAGTAAAGTTCCACTCTCTCTAACGGATGTATCACATAAACGTTTACAAAAACCCCGATATCTTGAATGTGAATCTTTATAGACGGTGCCCACAAATTGCCCATCGTTACCGATTCTTAATCTTGCCAATTTATCTAAGTTGATAAAATATCAAGTTCGATCAGTGTGAAGATTTATATCGAAATCTTTTTGTGACATAAAGTTCGACCAAAGTTTGAACCTTAGTAAATCATACAAAATCCGTATCTCTATGTGATTATCAAATACTCTCTTAAATCTTTGTGCATCGATCATTTAAGTCGTATTTCGAATCCGCCATCTTTGGATCTAAGATCTAATATTAACACATCAAAGTGATCTACTTATTCGCGTTGAGTTTAATTCCCGACTCAAGTGACCAAACTTAAGAATTGGCAAAGGCAATGATGTCTCCACGGCGACTATAAATTGTCACGGCGTCCTCGCTATTGCATCCCAATGTCAATAAGTAGGTATAGCCTCATGCTGGCCAATTTGAGGGCAAATGGATCAATCCTAATAACCATTTTCTGGAGCCGATTATCAGGAGCGATTTGAGTGTATTGCCCTCACTCATTTCCATTTGTTCAAGTGGTCCGTAAAACCCTCGAACCCAATTGATTTTCTTATTTATCCTCGACTCTTGATTTGATGATATTTTTTAGTTTACTCAGTTGTGACATTCATGCAAATTATCAATTGATCACTTCATGTTCTGGTTTTCAAGTTTTAATTGATCTTTTACTTATTAACACGATTATAATTGTAATCTTTATTATATTAATTATCTGCTCACTGAGTAATTGGCTCAGCTGATGTTTGTTTTGTCCTCGATAGATATAGGATCGTATATGGGATCATCTAGGGAGTGAGAGTTATGGAATGTAACTATTTTGAAGATTTTTTTGGATATTGCTTTTGTTTATGTAAATATAGTAATTATATCTATATCATGTTGAATTTGGTCTCTCACACATTTGTTTTGATGGATTTCCTTAGTGGCTCTATCTTTTTCATGTACGCTATCTAGTTATGTTGTTACTTTTTCTTATATAACACACCTTCTTCCTGCCACGTAGGACGAGGGTGTTATAAATTCAATATTAACGATCATATATGCATGATAAGATCAATATCATATATGATAATATCAAATATTTGATAATAAGAATATTTGTTTTATCTTCCAAAAAAGATTTCAAAATATTTGATATGGTGTATAAGTAGTTTATATATATGTGTGTGTGTTGGGGGGGGG